TTACCCCGGCGTATCAAACGTCTAATCCAGGCGAAAAATCGTCTCCGTAGACAGGCATTGAAAATTAAAGACCCGACGAACCGCAAAAAGATTAATAGTGAAATAAATCATCTCAAGTTCTTAATTAAGTATTCTCTTACGGAGTATAACGATAATGTTTGGTCAAATAAACTTAAAAAGGTAGATAATCCCAGTAGCGACTTGTGGCGTCTTGTTAAGCAGGAGAAGTGTACTTTAGATCTACCCATTCCTACATTAAGATTGAATGATGGATCTTTAATAACCGACACTGAGCATAAATGTAAGGTTATGTCTGATGCATTCTCCTCTAATATGTCACTAACGCTTGATTGGAATAGTAACATGGATAGCGAAGTTACTAAATCATTATCCGTACTGAATCAATACAGAATTGATAGCTTTCAGTCACTAGTACGCCCATCAGAAGTGCGTAAACGTGTTTCTAAGCTTAAGACGCGTAAATCGCCGGGTCCGGATGATATACCAAATATATTAATAAAAAATCTCTCACAAAAGTGCATTGTTCTCTTGACAAAGATTTTTAACGGCTGCTTAGCTCTTGGTTACTTTCCATCTCAATGGAAAACGGCAAAAATTATTGGTATACCTAAACATGGTAAAGACACCAGTTGCCCTGAAAATTATCGACCCATTAGTTTGTTACCTTGTTTAGGTAAAGTGTTTGAGTCTATCATACTATATCGTCTATCACGTGCTTCGGAGGACTTACTAATTAATGAACAATTTGGCTTCCGCCAAAAACATTCAACCGTTCAGCAGCTAGCTAGGGTCACTGAAATTATCTCTTATAATTTGAATTTAAATAATACTACAGGTATGTTTCTGTTAGACATAGAAAAAGCTTTCGATACTGTTTGGCACAATGGACTTCTACATAAGCTTATTATTAATAGCATACCACTACCGTTAGTAAAAATTATACAATCTTATCTAACTGACCGTTATTTTAGGGTTCACATCTTGAACTTTACATCTACTGCAAAACATATGCCTGCTGGGATTCCCCAGGGCTCTAATTTAGGCCCGTATTTGTTCCTTTTATTTTTAAACGATATTCCCATACAAACGCGTACAAATTTAGCTTGTTATGCTGATGATACTGTTTCATTTACATCCGACCGGGACCTTGACTTAGTTATTAGTAGACTTCAACTCTCAATCGATCTCCTCATTACATTTTTCAAAACTTGGAAACTCAAAATTAATGCTTCTAAAACAGAAGCAATATTATTTACAAGAAGACAGACAATTCCTAAAAGACAACTTAATATAAATGGTGTCGATATTCCTTGGAGTTCTTCAGTTAAATATCTAGGCTTAAAATTAACAAAGAAATTAAATTGGAATGATCATATTCATGATTTACGTATCAAAGGATTTACAGCTATTAATGCATTGAATCGCGTTTTAAAACGTAGGTCACCTCTAAGCCCTCACACTAAATTACATATATATTCAACTTTAATTCGACCCTGTATAACTTATGCTTGCCCGGTATGGTGTAATACTAGTGTTTCTAATATAGAAAAGTTACAAACTGTTCAAAATAAAGTCCTTAAACAGGCTTTTAATACACCATATTATACTAATTTAATTACGCTCCACACTCGAATTAGTTTTCCTACTATTAGACAATTTATTTATAACTTATACAAAAAATTTTATCTTAAATCTAATATAAAACACAACAATCCACTAATTAATAGGATCTGTATAACACGAACCAGCAATTTACCTTTTATCGATAAATATAAAAGATATAAATTGCCCCATCACTGGTTTCTAAACTTCGAATAATATTTTACTTCAGACCGTAATCACTCTTTTTGCATACTGAAGTAAGGATTAAGATGGCACGCACCATTTCTGTTTCTATTGTTCGCACAGTTCTCGACAGTCATGACTGCTGATACCTGCCGCTTGGTACCTACCTGCTTACTTTACTTACTTACTGCTACCTGTTACCAACTTGGTACTATTTGGGTTCAAACTACCCTCCCAAAATAATTGTATGATTTTTTTTTTGTTATAATGCATAATTTACAAATATGTGCATTTTGTGTTTATTTTATGATTATAATCAATAAGTTACATCATGTAATGTAAGTTTTTTATGTTGTGTAGATTTATAGATACTTGTATCTCTATTTTAAATGTTTGAAGGAGTGTATATTACTCGCCAAACGATTTATGGCTGATTGTAAATTCTAGGCTTACGTACACTGGAATTTATTATATTTGTAAACACTTATGATAAATAAAGAACTTTTGAAAACAAAACAAAAACAATGATTTGCAATATGTGGTCATAACTTCCTATACGTAGTTGGTACATAACGTAATTTACCTGCCGAACAATGCTCAATACGATTGCTGTATAAAACCGCAGCTTTCATATGAAAGTGGGGCATGTCTAGATAGCTACTTGTCAGGCTATAGTTATTTAACTGAATGATTGACTAATTGTTGTGAGGTTTCGGGTCTTAAAGGTGATTAAAGTGGATACTATACTCATATATATATATAGTTACAGATAGGGTTGCCATATGCGAATTTAGATTTTTATCTAAACATGAAATATTTTTTTCACTAAATCGATATTATTTTCAGGATTTTATCGGCTTTCGCTAGATTTGCCACGTGCCACAAAATGAACGACACAAAATAATTCCTTCTATTTCAAATTTGTTTTTTTCTTATCTTTCCGTTATGTACCTTAAGTCATATATTTTATTGTAAATATTTACCTTACTACTACTGGCAATACGGGATGTATAATGAAAAAAAGCCTATGTTCAGCAGTGGACAGTTAGTAGCTGGCGTATATATATATATATATATATATATATATATATATATATATATATATATATATATATATATATATATAGAGTCGATTTGCACAAAATAAATAAAACATAATTACATTAAAACAAAACGAATAGGTACAAATACAATGAAATTTAAGTTCGGTTGTTTAATAATGGTAACACAGATGATAATTATAGTGTTAATCCGCATAGTACTGCGAGATTACTAAATTCTGTTGAAATCTGCTCAAACATTTTATATTATTGTCTTGTTACGTCTATCTAAATATTTGACTAGTATATTTTATTAATCATTAATATCCTACCCAATCAATTATAATGATATTGTGATAACTTTACAGTAGTCCTCAGGAATGGCAACGCATGGGGGTATCATGGGTGAAACAGTATACTCTATTATGTCCATAGTACTGTTCATGTCTATAGGCGACGGTTACCACTTTCCATCGAGTGGGCCGTCAGCTTGTTTGCCACTCTAAGTTGCATAGAAAAAAGTTTATTTATGCAGGGAGAAATGCAGGAAAATCTGAACATCCCATAATGACTTGGGATCCTAACCCGCCGCGTCACATGGAAGCCTCAAAATAGTATTGTTGTTTTGATTAGCGTGGTCGTACCCAGCGTCTGGCCTGGAAGGGTGCAAGTCAGATTTGTGGCGATTGTAGCGCTTGCTTCTACGCGGTTATTTCAAAAGCTATCATAAAATATATTATAAGGTATGCAATTTTCAAGGAAGCATCTGGAATCCTTAACCCTCCCCCCCTTCCTCCTAGGTACGCTCTAGTTGTTTTTGACTCCAAGTTTCATTGTAAAAAATGTTGAATTCTGTCTAAAAATTATACTAAATGTTGTTTATAATTACTCCTCTCCATCCAAAGGTTGCCTGGAAGAGATCGCTCTTAGCGATAAGGTCGCCCATTGTTTTCTCATTGTGATTATTTCTTGTAATTATTTATATTTATAATAAGTTTACTATTGTAATCTTACGGAGGAAACAATAAAGAGTATCTATCTATCTATTTAAATGTTAGTTGTTAATTTCTATTTCAGTAATATACAGGTAAATTACTATCTTGGTAGTAAGTGGTCAGTTTTTCTACCAAATTAGTAGTATGCCTAATTGTACCAACACCTAAATACAGAATCACGTTTAGCAAAATCGAGCAATCACTTTTAGGTAATTCGTAGATAAGTATTTATAGTCGAAACGTGTGCGTATTCGTTGCGTTTGAATGGATCATTAGGTTTCAGCGGAACTTTCACCGGTCCATTAATCACTTGTACGTCAGCCGTTATAAATAATATTGTTAATTTTACATGCTCTAGACAGTTAGACAGTAGTCACTTGCTAGTAAAGTTCTAGAATCAATAATCATAGAAAATATTAGCCTCTCGTCCCCTAGACAAGTGGCAAATGAATTCATTGATCGAAATACCAGATATGTCTGTCTCGTTCTATGTCATGCTTGCAGAAACGATAACACATCTATCGGTATTGTCGAAAAGGACTAGACACACGAATTTTGAATGACAAGGGAGTTATTTAAGAAAAATGTATATGAGGAATTTATATAAAATCAACAGAAGCCAAAACAGTAATTTTCAGTAGTTTTGTATGGCAATCTACGAGTATGTGTTTGTTCAAGAACTACTGCACTAAATTGTACGCAGTTTTCATAGGCGTATTTCTGAAAGCTATTTTTCTATTTTTGTTGTAAACCTGTTAAACTTGACAAATACAACATCCTGTCAACAATATATCTGGCAAATAAATTTCATTTCACTTTTATTTCATTCGTTATCCTTCTTCTGAAATCCACGCGTTTATAAATGGCGGGCAAACAGCTAGAATCATATATATTTATTTATTATTTATTTATTTATTTCCCTCTTTAATGCACCAGAAACATAAAAATAGACAATGACAATTGAATAAATCAAGTGAAATACAGTAATATAAATACAGATTGAAATATATACCTATATAAAGGTACAAAAAGCGGTCTTATCGCTAGGGCAATTTCTTACGGACAACATTTGGTTAAGGGAGAACATATAGAAGTGGGACGGTGGCACAAGATATATATGTGTATATCCCCATATAGTATAGAGATAGTAGCAACTTACAAACACAGCAGACGCCGAGCCCCTTAGCGCACTCGCCCGAGGCCCTGCCCTGCCGGTCGTGGCACTCGTACGCGTTGAGACAGACGCCCGCGCGGGCCACCGCGTGCCCGCTCGGCTGGCACTCTCGCCCGTCGTCGTCGCCGGGAGCGGTGAACAGCTTTATCACCTTGCCGAACGGGAACAGACCTGAAAAGAAATGCTTGCTGTGAACTTTTTGTATTAACAAATCAATTGGAAACAACAAACATAGTAAGTTCATAGAAATCCCGTTACACACCCACACGCACACGCACACGCACACGCACACGCACACGCACACGCACACGCACACGCACACGCACACTCACACGCACACGCACACGCACACGCACACGCACACGCACACGCACACGCACACGCACACGCACACGCACACGCACACGCACACGCACACGCACACGCACACGCACACGCACACGCACACGCACACGCACACGCACACGCACACGCACACGCACACACATATACATATATATATATATATATATATATATATATATATACGGACACGCACACACATATATATATATATATATACGCGACTTTCTATAGCCTTCATCGACAAACAAGCTCAAATACGGTGGATTTGAACTGCGTAGTATACGAGTGCCTATGACTGCCTTTAAATCATGCCCACCTCAGAATTGTCTTATTCCCATCATAGGAAACGAATGAAGCCTTGTAAAGATACGAGTATATTAAAAAGTACATAGGTATTAGCCTATATCAAGGAATCAGCAAACTTTAAAAGTTAAAAACGGATATTTCGACAGATTATTTCGATGTTTGGAATCAGAACTTAACAAAAAATATTTTTGTATATCTGTTTAATGGATAACCTTTAATCAAATAAACTTGTTAATTCGAGTTGCGTTTATTTGTAAACTCCAGTTATGTTTGTAGAAGTTACTAAACAAAACTTTATACAAAACGTAATTAATTTTAAAAAATATGACATCCCATTTTTCTTGCATAATGAAGCCGTCTTAACATAATTAACATAGCAGACACGCCGTAAATAACCGAGAGACTGTACTTTACTTAATATTGTCAACTCCAGTTTACCTTTGAATTATATTCGCCCTATAATTTCTAATAACATTTTAAAAGTAACCATAGACTTAGCTGGACGAAAATAGGCGAAAAAAGAAAACGTATTTTAAAAGAGTCACGACTAATTTGTGTAACTCAATTAAACAGGCGGAGAGGAAAATGTTAAGGTTCCTAAAAACGGACGACTTACTAGTTGAAAATCAGTTGAGACGTTGAATAAGTGAGGAGGGAATTTCTATTAATCAGATGTAATTTTAAAAGACTTCGGTCAAGAGGCGAGTTTTATTTCGCCCGAATTTTTCTTGTATGTGTGTGCGTGTTACGCGGTATCTTCACCAATTCTGAACCGTTTTTTATCATTCTTTTTACAAACTATCGAGTTTAATCTCGTGGGTCCGTATTAATTTTGTCGCGACTGGAATAACTTTAGTAAAATCTATATATATACATCATTCTGCGTTCCAAAATAAGTCTAGTGGCCGTTTACAGTTAGACAGGCAATATGCCTGTTTGCCACTTGTTTATTATTTTTTTAATACCACGAGTATTAAATACAATTAAACCTTTCGACGTCCACATATGACGAGAACATATCATTGGTTTTGAAATGAAAATAATAAAAGCACTAGATACTATGATGCGATATTTTCAACATTCTTCGGTGTATTTTGTTAGTACTAAAGTCGCCATTTCCTTTATTTGAAGAATAACATACCCACTTTTTTATACAATTTATAAATAAATAAAAAAACCGACTTCAATTGTGATGAAACCAGTTATTTTAATCTAAAAACTAAACTACTGATCTGATGTTGATAATGGCAAACAAGCTGACGGCCCACCTGATGGAAAGTGGTAACCGTCGCCTATAGACATGAGCAGTATCATGGACATAACAGAGTATACTGTTTCACCCATGATACCGCCCATGCGTTACCATTCCTGAGGACTCAGATGTTATTCCTCTGTACCCTGTAACTTCACGCCATATCCCACCCTTCAAACCGAAACACAGCCATGCAAACACAACTGCTTCACGGTTGAAACACGAATGGGACAGAGGTACCCAAGCAATCGACTTTTGTACAAAGTCTCTCTCTGGTGCTTATATTCCATTACATTATAGTGTAGCGCCGGTTGTTTAATTAATATATTAAAGGCAATGGATTGAAAGCTTTATAATATTATTGAGAAGGCGTAACGATATTCATGGCTTCGTGCCTATAGAACATGTATGGTATCCATTAATAGATTAATTAAATTATTATGTTCAAAAGGTTAGACATAGAATCAAAGCAGTAACTATTAATAGATATTTAGTTATAAATAGGTAAAGGCTCTTCATAGTTCTTCTTTTATATATTAAATGCATTCAGATTCTTTATATATTAAGAGTGTTTACGTGAGTCTATACAATTTATAGATATATATACAAGTCATTATACCTTTGATGTTTATTCCTGTACATATAAATTTTTTTTGAGCCTTCGTACCACACTAATTTATCTATATATGTATACTAGCTGACTCGGCAAACGTTGTTTTATCATATACATTATTTCGAGAAGTATACATGAAAATTTATCGTACTACAATTATTATATTCGATTGACATCTTGCATCCCTATTGCGGAATATAAAAATCGCGCTTAAACAACAGGGGTTAAACGTAAAAGCGTAAAAATTTTAATTTGTATGTATCTTTCAATGCTGAATCATAATAAAATAAAAATAAAAAAAATTGACAACAAAAATGAAAAAAAAATTAGGGGTGGGTCACCCTTATCATTGAAGGGTCTGAAAAATAGATGTTGACCGATTCTCAGATCTATCCAATATGCACACAACATTTCATAAGAATTGGTAAAGCCGTTTCGTAGGAGTTTGGTAACAAACACCGTGACACGAGAATTTTATATATTAGATGTAAAATTATTCATGCTCCTTTCCACTGAAGGTTTGCTAGAAGAGAACTCTTACAAAATTAAACCCGCCTCTTGTACATGCTTATTCAAAATTAATTATAACATTATAATATTTGTATACAATAAAGTATAAGTAAATAAATAAAATAAAGATCACAAAAATAAACCGACTTCAACTATGACATAACCAAGATTTGATCTAAAAACTAAATTACTGTACCAATTTTGATAAAAATTCTATAAGACTAATTTCTAAGTATTTAAATTATTGCTTACTTGAATAATTAACAACTAAACTTATTATTCACTTATACTGTACTGAGTATATATAATAACTCTTTATTGTCCATTAAAGATAATAAATAAAAAAAATTAAAAGGTTCCGCTTTTCATAGATTATTTATATTTGCACACAGTATCTACGGTCATAAACCACTTTTACTTTCTCACACCATCATGTGGTCCAGACATAGAACAAGCCACCCCTTCCTTTCCCGTGGTTGTCGTAAAAGGCAAGTAACGCCCTCCATTAGTCGCCTCTTACAAGGAATGGGCAACAATGTCCCTCTTAAAACATCTTGAAATCATAACTGTGGTTGCCAATCTACCTGCCATGCATGGCAACTAATGGCAACTCCCTTCCCCTAAGGGTGGAGATGATTCCATTCCAGTGGATGTCGTAAGAGGCGATTAAAAGAACTTAATGGTAGAGAGATGAACAACAACGTCGTTCTTTAAACATCTCTTTAAAACATCTCTAAAAGCCTAACTGCGGTTTGCCAGTCCTCCTGCCAAGCGTGGCAGCTACTTAATTCCCCTTGTAGGGAAGGCTTAGCAGTGGACAGTAAGTAATGGATAGATACAGAAAACTAAATCTAACACCCCACTATAAAACTGTAGACGCCTGACACAATTTTAAACACATAAATCGATTTATCACGAAACGAGAATTTGCATAACACATTCGAGGACACAGCATCTGGTGCTCTGTAAAACGATATTGTAAATAAAAAACAACATTAGTGACGTGCCAGGTTACGGTAAGTCGAGAACTGACTCGAATATCCACTAGATACTCAATCTGTAGAATTCGAATACACATTAATCGAATACAGGTTTCAAACACTTTGAAAACTAATCGCGTATTATAAATTTTATATATTTCTGTTTTTATATATTTTATAGCTGACGACCCACCTGATGGAAAGTGGTAACCGTCGCCTATAAACATGAGCAGTATCATGGACATAACATAGTACACTGTTTCGTCCATGATACCCCCTCTGCGTTGCCATTCCTGAGGACTCAGGTGTTATTCCTCTGTACCCTGTAAATTCACGCCATATCCTACCCTTCAAACCGAAACACAGTCTTAATTCTTTCCGCCGAAATTTCTTAATTCATCATCATCATATAAGCCAATATTTCTCCACTGCTGGACATAGGCCTTTCCTATAGACTGCCATAAGGAATGGTCTCAGCCACTAACACTTTTTAACTATCAAAGGGTAAATTACAAATTTTTAAGGGGAAAAAAAGGAAAAAAGGCTTCATCACGTCTACTGTTTATTTTAAAACAAACAGGAAAAGAATATCTAAAAAGCATATAGGTATCAAAAATAATATAAAATAAAATATATAAGAAGGCCAGCTGGTTAAGTTGTTAATAACACATATTAGGTATCTTCACTAGCGATCCGACCCGGCTTTGCACGGGTGCATAGAATTTTCCAAAATAGTATATAGCATATGTTACTCGCTGATAATGTAGCTTTCTATAGGTAAAAGGATTTTCAAAATCAATGGAGTAGTTTTTGAGTTGATCCATTATAAACAAACAAATGATCCCTCTTTAAATATTATAAATTAAGAAATCATTTTTAACTCTGAAATCAATTAAAAAATTATTCAAATCTGATGAAAAACTCAAATATCCGTACAATTATTCACTCAGGTTATGGAATGAGCTCCCTGCCGAGGTTTTTCCAAGGGACTACAGCATTGGGTTCTTCAAAAGGGGGGTGAAGAGGTTTCTTCAGAGTCGGCAACGCGCGCGTATTAACTCTGGTATTGCAGGCGTTCATAGGCTACGGTAACCGCTTACTATCAGGTGGGCCGTATGCTTGTTTACCACCTCAGTGGTATAAAAAAAAAGTATAAAAAAAATAC